ATTTCACCCTCTCACATGGATAAATTTATAGAAAAGTGAATCGAATGAAGATACGAATTCTCTATCGTTTCGATAATACTCGTCGAATGAGAGAATCAATTGCGAATACACGATGGAATATATTATTTTAATTTCCTTCATTTTTACATTTAAAAAATTATATAGATCACATTTGGATGATAAAAATTGAGAGATGTATTGATTAATTATGAGAGAAAAATGGAGGATTATTGGAAGGTAAAGAGATCGATAAAGTTGGAAAATATTTAATAGATAATATCAATTATTTTTATTAACTCACTCTGCTGGTTTTTTTAAAATTAATCGAGAGATTCGATTTTAAAAAGAATAAAAAAGAAAACATTTATACATTTAATTTAATAATATTTTACACCTGTTGGCGTTTCATCGACGAACAGCTTCGATATTCAAATATTTAATCAAAAAAAGAAAATGTTTAAACAAAGTGTATTTTTAATTATAAATTATAAATTTTTATTGTAATAAGGAAAAAGTTATTAATTCGAGGGAAGGCAGTAAATACGAACGAGTTATCCTTTCCCGTTGTTCAGAACGTTTAGCTTTATTGACAGAGGTACGGTAAAAGCAAACGCAGCAAAGCGGAATAACGTGAAAGAAGGGAAAAAAGTAAAAGTGTAGAGGGTGACACGCTGAAAGCTCTGACAGGGTGGAAAATTCAAGTCGAAAGGGAAATCGTGAAATGACTCTGACTTTTCCTCGTGAGAACAGAATGAATATCGAATGTAAGAAATACATTCTTCTTTCCTTTAATTGTGAATTAATTACATCATTAAATAATTGCACCATTTTCCATTTTAATTCTTTTTCTCGAGCTCGAGAAAATACTTTCCTCACTAATAAATTCAATTATTATAATATCTAAAAATACACTTACATATCTCTGCATTCTTAATTAATTTAAATAATAATAATCCAATTAACTTTAACAAATTTATTGGAGGATAAAATCCTCCAACTTCACTCTCTCTAATTTTACTTTTCAAATATATCCCTCGAAGTAAGTACATCTTAACAAAATGCAATTTAAATCTCGATTAAACTCTAACATCGTCCAAACCTATGATTTCAGTTCGAAAAATCTTCAAAAATCTCTTCAGCCTCGATACTTTGACCCTCCACCGTGACCCAGCTTGTTCTCCACTATAGCAATCGGTAGCCGCGTGTCTATGCAAATTCTCCGCCGTTCGAATTCCGCGTATCAAGATGTGAGTCACGCCTGTAATCTTTCGCATAGTAAATTATCCGCCAATATCAACGAGATCAGATACTGGCCGGTATTATCTGTTACGATTCGAGGATGGGGGAGGGTTGAAGAGGGATCGAGAGACGCGAGACAGAGGGTGCGACAGAGCTGGA